ATTTATACATTTTTCAGACTTGACAATAACAAAAGTTAACAACAAACATGATTTTTCAATTTATCGTAAAACGGCACATACAGATATTATCATTCATAATTCGTCCACTCACGCATATCAGCTTGAGATAGCAGCTTTCAACAGTATGATCCACAGACTGACAAATGTACCCTTGTCAGAAGCGAATTTCAATAAAGAACTGAATATAATAAAGCAACGATTACGATAGCGGTCTGATACATTCTTTATTATCAAAAATGTTATACAGTGAAGCTTTGAAAAAAGTTTACCCATTCGAAGAGAAGAGGTTAAAAGTTATAGAACCTTAACCTACTTAGGCCAACCCACTACAAATATTTCAGATTTTCTGCACAGCAAAGGTGTAAATACTGCTTTCAAAACCAACAACAACTTGGGCATGCACATTAAAAATAACAAAGATAAAAGTTCAGTTTCAGAAAAATCAGGAGTGTATACATTAACGTTCAAAGCCCGCATAAAGGAACACAAATATAATTTTCAGAATGGAAAAATAAATTCCACATATGCCAGTCATTCAATCTTATAGGGACATGAGTTCAACCATGAATACAAACCCCTCCATTTCCAGAAGAAAAGTTTGAAACTTAACCTGTTGGAGAGTATGGAAATAAACAAATTCAAAAACTGTCAGAATCTTATGAACGATCAAACTGAATTGAATAATTCGCCATTATTGAATCTGTTCATTCGCAGGTAAAAATAGTTAGTTATATTTTCAGGTATACTTTCAGGTATACCAGACCGTTTCAGGTAGATTCATTATTTAGGTAGACGAATAGGTACTGGGTTATAGTATAAAATGGTGTAATTTAGAAGTAACTCTCAGTTTATGCTTGAAGAAGCTATTGTATTGAGAAACACGTGTCGTGGTTTTTGTAAAACCCTTATAGTGAAAATCATACAATAAACTGTATTGATTAGTTTTTTGTCCAACTTTAGTCTTATCAATATGATAGATCTAGAAAGAATTGTTAATTGCGCAAATGAATCAGTATACTATTGCAGTATTTCTTAACCTTCCAAGGATATTTGAAACTGTAGATAGATGCAGACTGATTAGTAAAATTGAAAGCGGAGGTATTGATGAAATAACACTAAACTGGATCATAAATCATCCGAGCAATATACAGCAAAGGTTGAAACTAGAGGAAGCTTATTCGGATCAAATGCAAAATAATATAGGTATACTCCAAGGATAAATTTTGGGACCATTCTTATTCCTCAAATATGTAAATGACATTGTAACCATGGCAGAAGAATGTAGAATTCACTTATTTGCCGGCGATACCCTACTGTAGTGAAGATGTACATGAGTGTGTTGATACTATAAACGCTAGTCTTGAAAGGGTGTATAGATATTGCTCTGCAAATCTGCTGAAGGTGAACGTAAATAAAACAAAATGGATGTTATTAGGGGAGTTGAAAGACACGCCAGATGAAGCCATTGTATGGCGAAACACGTGTTGCGTTTTTGTAAAACAATTTAGTGAAAATCTCACAATAAAGTGTTTTTGGAATACGTTAGTTATGGATTTTCATCAAGTATCGGCCGATTCCATCATATATTATTAGGGGAACATAGAGATCATAATAATGATAACCTACTTCTACAATTGAGAAGGTATAAAGAGTATAGAGAAGGTAAACAAATTCGTGTACTTGGGTGTAACTATTGACAGCAACTTGAAATTCAAGGGACACGCCAATCAAGTTATCAAAACAATAGCTTACAAAATCAACTATTTAAAAAGATTTTCTGATTGATTCGGTCGTTACTTGATGAAGATACATAGTAATTTAAAAATTTATTTTAAAAAGATGTTCCCCATATATGAGCCAGTGGTCTGAATTATTAGTCTACAACTCCATAATCCTTCCACATTTGAATGATTGTTCTAACATTCTGTTCTTTCTCAATCAAAATTAAATAAAGAGACTACTGAAGCTGCAGAATCGTGCTATGCGAATAATCTTACAATGTTCAAGGATAACACCCATAGCAAATATGTTGCAAACCCTTCAATGGCTACCAGTGAAGAAACTTTTCGAGTACAAAAAGTACTCAGTACAATGTATGTATGTATGTGTTCATTCGTTCCATATATAGCCATTAACAAATTGCACAAGAGTGGATCTCACATCCAAATACGATACCTAATAGGCCTGGGAAACTCCCGTTTGTTTTCCATTATATTTATATCAGATTACTTTGTGGAATGGGCGTCCAGTTTCATTTCTTGGGGCACTCCTAGTTTCCAATGCGGATAATATTTCAGGAAGCTATGCGCCTGGCAAGGGTTGGGCATAATTTGTAGATGGAAAGTTGGCACGCATGGTGAATTATCAGGTCAATTTTTTCATGTTCCAACGTTCAGGGGTATTAGAGGTCATTCACTAAATGATAACGCCATCACAAACGGTGGGTTTGTGATAGCCCCCATTCTATTTTTAATGGCTGAAAATGTACTGGAGGAATCATGAAGCTCGAAAAGTGGGAGTCCCACCATTTAAACGATCGAGGTAGGTCTGCGCAACCAAAACGATCCTTTTTTCGATTGGATCCTCACATGTGATGGAAAGTGGATTCTCCACGACAACAGGTGCCGTTCTGGACAGTGGTTGGACACTGATAAGCTACCCAGACACTTCCCAAAATCCACCAGAAAAAAACCATGGTCACTGCATTGGTCAGGAGCTGCTGTGATTCACTATAACTTTCTGCAGCCGGACCAAACATCACAGTAGAGTATTATTGTGGGAAAAATCTACAGAATTTACTGACAATTACGTCAGCAGCAGCCAGCACTGGTTAACAGCAGAGGTCCGATCCTGCTCCACAATGACTCCCGTCCTAAGGTTACACTGTCCGAAAATTAAACGAATTTACCATCGAAGTTCTGACTCATCCACCACACTCCCCAGACCTGTCGCCAACTGACTTACAGCTTTTCGAGCTCTTCAATAAATTCATCATCGGTAGAACCTTCACCACAAAGAAACGACCGTCGTCGACTCCATCGAACCCAGAGCACCCAATTTTCGTGCTGACGAAATTATTCGATCTGTGTTACATTGGCAAAAGGGCACTGATTCAAATGGTACTGTTTTCGATTGAATTGAATGAGTATTCACCGAGATATTACAGTTCAAAGTAGACTGATAAACACGGACAACCTCATTTATTTTTCCATTTATTTATTCCGAAACAAATAGACAGAGCCTAGTAATATGTTCCTTAGTAGCTACAAGTACAATTTTCAATAATTTTTTCTTCAAATACAGAAAAAGGAAAAATGGGAATATCAGATTACAAAAATTGGCCTGATACTGAAAATAATGTCAATAGAAAAAACCTAGTGAACTGATATGAATGTAGGGAGCTGTTGTGGTACGTTCACATTCTTCAGCAGAATCAGGAATTGATAACCTTTCTTAGGTTAAATTCAAGTTTTGAATGTGATGGCTCAAAGATAAATATAAAATGTAAATTATTCAACAAATCTCAGTCAGTTTTTTGTAAGTACCGCTCTACAGCAGAGGCAGTTCTCAATGTGGTAAGTGAAGTAGTCGAGCAAGGTAACCACACAGTTATTAAGCTCTGCGACCTCTCTAAGGCGTTCGACTGCGTCTCTCACGACATATTATTGGAAAAACTATAATACCATGACGTCAGGGGAGTGTATCTATCCTTCATAAAATCATATTTGTCGAATAGATATCAAGCAGTCAGTAGCAATAATTGTATCTCGAATTTAAAACTCGTTAAACATGGTGTTCCTCAAGGATCAGTATTGGGACCACTTCTTTTCATAATTTACGTGGATGACATTAGTAACTTCATGCATCCATATACATATGTTTAGAATATCTATCTAGAATATCAAAGAAAGTCGATGAGAAAGCAGAAAGTTGGTTTGTGCCAAATATCTGAATACAGATAAAATGCAACAGTTACAGTTCTCAGCAAGCTCTGCCGCTACATCAAGTGCAAGTGTTAAATTACTTGGATTAATTGTCGATAATATTCTCACTTGGACCTGTCACATTGACCAATTGAGTAAAAAATTATCTAGAACTCTTTTTTCATTGCGTCATTGAGAAATATAACTAATATCGATACACTGAAAATAACATATTTCTCTCTCTTCCATTCTCACATTAGCTATGGTGTTAGACTCTGGGGCAACTCAACTATGGCTGTAAAAATTTTTAAATTGCAGAAAAAAGCTCTCAGAATAATTACTAGTTCTGGTTATAAGGATCATAGTCTACCTCTGTTTTTGAAATTGAGAATAATGCCGTTACCCACATTATTTTTGTACAACTTTCTCATAGAAATTCATAAAAAATCAACTTCAATAATCAAGCAATCAGACCTTAATGACTATGATACCAGACATTGTAACAAATTTCGGACACACCTGTCGTTTGAGTAAATCACAAAAGAACACACTGAATTTCGACCTCTACAAATATCTTCCCGATAGTTTCAAAATTCTAAGTATGTCCAAATTCAAAAAAAAACATAAAAAATCATCTTTTGAGTTTCTGCTTGTATTCTGTCGAAGACCACGTGAATCATTTTGAATGTTTATAATGTCAACATACATACTCAATGTTGTTCTTATATTCTTGTATTTGTGTTTCTCGTTTGTTCTTATAATATTTTGATTGTTTAACAAATTACTTTCATGCTATTTCTTGACTTGCTACAAACATTTTATCATGTAACGTGGTGAAATAAATTATCTTTCTTCCTTTCTAACCTAAGAATTTTCGTATATTTATTATACATTGAACAAATTCTGTCAATAGGAGATTCATGTTGATTGCCATGAAAAGTATTTTGTCGCGGACGAATAACTGACAGCGGAACATAATAGTTATTCAAATGGAATTAATTTTGGTACTGTCCAAATGTGTCTTTGAAATTAATCAGTTTCTTTATTTGTTTTCAGAATGAAATAGGCTGTGATCACCTGGACACTTGTAATAAGAAATCACAATGACGTCAAAACTATTCCAGATGCAAGTGAGTATATTTCTACTGCAAAAACCAATTGTTTTGATTCAAACACACAGACGTTTATGAATATGATTCACTTCTATAAGCATCAACTTCATTTGGAAAGTCATTATACCAACTGAAAACCCACTTGAAAGTGGCTGCCTAGATTTGATAAGTATCTAGTTGATTTCCATCTATTTTTTGCTAATTATCCTACGCGTATCTTGTTAGCTGAAACAAAAAATGTCGAACAATCGCCATGTAGGAGACTTGTCGACTTTGGTTGAGTGCCGTGTGGTATAAAATTATGTTAATTAAAACGTGACTCTGATGGAAACACTTCCCGCACACCAAAACTAGAGCACCGTGTTTCGATAATCGAATAGAATGATCTGAAAAAAAGTAAATTCACAAGCCAAAGTGGTTGACCAATTATCGCAGATATAGGCCTCTCTTTTTAAAAACGACCGCGGAAACTTCCGAAGAGTAATATATGGAGGAGTAGTTGGAAATTTGTATAAAACAGAAATACGTTCAAATTGACACGGGTGTACTACAAATGAAGAATCACTGTCAATCTTTATGGTCAATCTGTTCCTGAGCATATTTTAATTTTGGGTCCATTTTTAAGAGAATACTCCCGAATGTGAAGTTCACGTTTTAAACCAAAAACAATGAAGGTGTATGTAGGGAGAATATCAACATCCCAAAGCTGATCTCATTTTTTCACAACAAAAAATGGTAGAACTACGTTTCCTTGCCCATAGGCTGGTTCCTCTTGAGCAAAGAAAGATACAACATCGAAAAAAAATTTATTAAAGAAATAGCTTAAAGTAGGTTAGGTTAGGTTAGCTCAGGTACGGCTATGCCGACCTCCTAAAACCTGATTTGGTCTCCAGTGGGGCAGGTACAAAGCATGTGCTCTGCTGTTTCATCATTCTCCAAGCACAGGTGACACACACTGTTTTCCGACAGTCCGAGTCTCTGCATATGATGATTCAAATGACAGTGACGTGTAAGGCCTGTTAGACATCGTAGTTGATCCCTACTGTAGTCCAACAACTGTTTGGTATCAAGCTTCGAAGGGTGAATAAACACCTTGTTGTGAGCTAATCCTGGATCTGCCAGGAGTCCATAAATCTTCTTGCCATCAAACTGTTCAATCTTTGTTTGACAAAGCTTAAAGCGATGCCAATGACAGGTTCTGGTCCGATGGAGCTGGTTGCAGCACCCATTTCTGCAAGGGAGTCAGTAGTCCACGAAAGTCCAGGCCACTATGGCCAGAAATTCAAACCAGAGTCATTTTCCATCATTTTCCTGTCTTCTGACAGTCCGAGTCTCTGCAAAATGATAATTCAAATGACAGTGATGTGTAGGAAGGCCTGTTAGACATTGTAGTTGATCCCTACTGTAGTCCAACAACTATTTGGTATCAAGCTTCGATGGGTGAATGAACGCCTTAAAGCGAGTCAATCCCGGAAGATTCTGCCAGAAGTCCACAAATCTTCTTGCCATCCAGCTGTTCAATCTTTGTTTGGCAGAGCCTAAAGCGATGCCAATGACAGGTTCTGGTCCGATGAAGCTGGTTGCAGCACCCTCTTTTGCAAGGGAGTCAGCCGTCCAAAAAAGTCCAGGCCACTATGGCCAGAAATCCACACCAGAGTCATTTTCCATCATTTTCCTAACAGAGGTGACACACACTGTCTTCTGACAGTCCAAGTCTCTGCAAAATGATAATTTGAATGACAGTGACGTGTAGGAAGGCCTGTTAGACATCGTAGTTGATCCCTATTGTAGTCCAACAACTGTTTGGTATCCAGCTCTGAAGGGTGAGTAAACGCCTTGGAGTGAGTCAATCCTGGAAGATTCTGCCAGAAGTCCATAAATCTTCTTGCCATCCAGGTGTTCAATATTTGTTTGGCAAAGCCTAAAGCGAAGCCAATGACAGGTTCTGGTCCGATGAAGCTGCTTGTAGCACCCTCCTTTGCAAGTGAGTCAGCAGTCCAGGAAAGTCCAGGCCACTATGGCCATAAATCCAGACCAGACTTATTTTCCATAATTTTCCAAACAGAGGCGACACACATTGTCTTCCGACAGTCCGAGTCTCTGCAAATGAAATTCAAATGACAGTGACCTGTAAGAAGGCCTGTTAGACATCGTAGTTGATCCCTACTGTAGTCCAACAACTGTTTGGTATCAAGCTTCGAAGGGTGAATAAACACCTTGTTGTAAGCTAATCCTGGGAGTCCATGAATCTTCTTGCGATGTCTATGACAGATTCTGGTCCAATGAAGCTGCATGTAGCACTCTCCTTCGCAAGGGAGTCAACAGCGTCATTACCTTCCACGCCAATATGGCCAGGAATCCAGACCAGATACAATATGTTAAGTCTTCCTATTGAGGAGAGTCGTTTTTGGCAATTTGCTACCAATTCAGACGTAGAAAGTAACGGGTCATGGTGAATAAGTTGATAAGAAAACGAAACTTTTGAAAGAATCTCATAGGTTTATAGTTCTTCAATAGAAATCAAATTATAACAATGGACTGGTTCAATATTTCAAAGAATCAAACGAGAAAATGGATTTTAAAATTGCACGTGTACGAAAAACTCTGGGATTCGTGAACTGCTAGGACTCCGACACACAGTATGTTGGTCAAACTGAGACGAATATAATTACTCGTTTCAATGATCACGTATTCGGTTTTGTAAACTAGAGAAGTCTGTTGTCGCAACATTCTTTGGACTATGGACACAGAATTAACAAAGAATAATTCAAGTTTTTTGGAAGCTGTACATGACAAAAAATCTCCAGACTGGAAGTCTAAGTATATGGTCTAGAATTCAAGAAATGTAGAATGACTCAGTACTCAGGAAACACAATAAATAGTATCATCATTACCAAAGAGAATGGCTCATTGTATGAAAAATATAGTCATATGATATTAATTCAGGTCAGTTTCAGATTATACTAACTTAGTTGGAGAAAGGCAATGATCTTGTTCTTGTGTGTGGGAAATGTGTTTTCACTGAATTCATTTCACGGCAGAGTTTCCAGTTCAATCTTCATTTTATTAAAAAAAAGATAGCTAATATTATTGAAAACATTCTATATCCGAAATAGGAATATCACAACCTCTGGTATCACTGAAGGAATGATGTTTACGAAATGTTTCCAGAAAAACATAAATCACTGGTTTGAATGTCGCGAAATGGTTCATGAAAGTTCCAAGTATAATAAAAAGTGAATAAAATATATGCTGACATATCGATTTCCCCATAATTTGCTGCAATTTCACAATCGATTTCTCGGCAGTATGTTAACGAGTTTGCAATTACATTTATTGTTTTGAACTTTCTGGATCTTGTTTGTTGTTTCGATTACTGAATGTACAATATGGGGGCTCAACCTGTTCTTTACCTCCATATGGGTACAGAGAATACCCAGTGACGGTGGTATTGCTAATTATGGGTACTCATGGAAGTAGATATTGACGAATGAAGTTCATTTGAAACTCAACTAATTGAAAAAAATAAACGAACATTATACGCTGCTTGTATGTGAATTATTGTTCTGTTGATTCTCCTATATGTTATTTCACATAATTCATAGATTTCATGTGAATGAGTTTGTCCTATTTTGTATCTCATGATCTTCCTTATTATTCTGTAACATTTATTTCAACCGAGGTACCTGAAAAAAATCGAAGTCAATGGAAACCACATCACACATGGAAAGAAGAGATCGGTTTGCTGTCTCTCATTTCCGTATGGTTTTTTTCCAATAGATCGAAATGCTTGACAATGTGTTGATCAATTACTTCATTCATGTTGAGCAATATTTCAACAAAAATGGAAAATTATTCCCCAAATTCGGGCATTTTTTCAGCAATAAAGAAGAATTCCTCTTCTGTGAGAAACAATGAGTTCGCCAAAAAGTAATCTCAGCATTGTGAATTGTACAGTTGGGAGAGTGGGTGTTTTTTCCTTGGAAATCAACTGTGGAGTAAAATTCAAATCGTAAGGCGACTAAATTAGTTTTTTCTCTATCCATGTCGTTGGTATTGAACCGCACAAACTTTGTTTTTGTTCTAAATGAATGAATTGAAATTACACTGAAGGTATTCAATTACCAATTCTTAACGTATATCGAAGTGTTAAGAGATTTAGTTTTTTCCCTCCAGATATGCATGAATGCAAAATTTTCAACAATTTGATCGCTAAAGTTATAGCGACATTTGTCGGCAACGATAAAAAAATTTGAGTGGATATGGAACAATAATTTGTTTTACAATTTCAGACAAATCTTCGCTTTCGCCGATTTTGAAATAGCTAGCAATGTATCGTGTACGTAAACATATGATAACGTATTGCTGCATGTTAATTTCTTCATCGATTCTCTGATTAGACAAATGATGACAAATGATCTAACAAAAATGTTATTTTTGGAGATGACTCACAGTATATGTCTACTTTTAAAGCCAGACTACCATTACTTTAAAAACGTATATATAAATATTTTGATGACACACAAAACCACCTTCACAAAGATCTTCATTATCTTTTGAGTAATTAAACGAAAAACGCATCTACTTTATCTTTCTTATTCTGTATGTAGTAGTAAGAACATTTTGAAATCTCAACGAGTATTTTTATGTCCGAATTCAGTTGTTATCGTTCCATTTCAAAAGATAAATTAGCTCAGAAATTCAGTATATTTTCATATTTTTTGTAGGCATTTCGCACCGCTTTCATTTTTGTTGAAGAAACTAAATCAGTTCTCCATGAGTTCTGAAGACTGATACATTTCTGAACAAATGATTATTCTGGTTTCTATTGACCATAATATATGTATAATAACTTTACATTGCCAAGGTTGAACTTTTTAATACATAACGTGAGGTGCAAAAACTATGCGTGGGTCTTATGAATCAAATCAGTACCCACGTTAATCCTTGGAAACTGAATACATTTGGTTTGTTTACATTCGCATAGTTTTCAATATATCGATTTTAACGGTAGCAAT